TATTATGACTCAAATAAATTCCCAATACAAACGATCATCGTCCTAAATACAAGACCCCGCAAGGATACAAGCTTAGGGACGACTTGTGATTACAAATCTCAAATCCAAATAACATTAAAATATTGACACGTAAAAATCTCTTTTTTTAATAAATTAATTTTAATGCCAACAACAATAAGTTCAAAGTTTTTATGCTATATGAATAAACATTAGGTATAAAAATACAAGAGTTCAATGGTGTTCAAGTAAATTCCCTTTTTTATAAATTAACACAATACTGAAACTCTATACCATGAAGCAATTGAAATGTATTATGTTGAATGCTTGCGGCTGTGCATAAATCAAAAGATCTCTCATGGATGTTTCCTTGATTTTGTTAAGTCCTTGTCTTTTTAGGAATATAAATTTATAGTAATTAGATTAGGTTATCTACAAACGGAATAAGAAAAAAAGATTTTCAATCACCTTCACATTTCGGAGAAATTATTGCATACGGACACCGCATGCATCTCTGCATATGGTGTTATATTTCAGTTAAAACAAAAAAAAAATTAAGTGGGGCCCACCGAAATATATCCTGACCGTAAATCACCTGATTTCGCATCATCTTGCAGGCGGTGTCCGTCCGCATGGAATAATGTTTCCACATTTCAGGAGCCATAACAAATGATTAAAAACTAACGATTCATGCTTGCGGCTGTGCATAAATCAAGTATGGGATTAAGAAAAAAAAATCTAAACAAAAAAAAATTTTCAAACAAAAAAAAAGATGAGAATTTCAAACAAAAAAAAAAGATGAGATAAAAGTAAAAACTGATTGAATCGATTCAATGTTGGCTAGATTTGATTTAGCTTTGGGCCCTTGAAGAACCTAAATAAAGAAACAAAAAAAAAAGAATCAAGAAAATGATTTAGCAAACAAGTAATAGCTTTTTCTATTTTTTATTTATTTATTTTTAGCAAATATATCGTCCTAAATAGAAGACCCCGCAAGGATACAAGGCTAGGGACGACTTGTGATCAGAAATCTCAAATCCAAATAACATTAAACTATTGATACAGAAAAATCTCTTTTTTTAATAAATTAATTTTAATGCCAACAACAATAAGTTCAAAGTTTTTATGCTATATGAATAAACATTAGGTATAAAAATGCAAGAGTTCAATGGTGTTTAAGTATATTGCTTTTTTTAATAAATTAACACAATACTGAAACTCTATACCATGAAGCAATTGAAATGTATTATGTTGAATGCTTGCGGCTGTGCATAAATCAAAAGATCTCTCATGGATGTTTCCTTGATTTTGTTAAGTCCTTGTCTTTTTAGGAATATAAATTTATAGTAATTAGATTAGGTTATCGACAAAAGGAATAAGAAAAAAAGATTTTCAATCACCTTCACATTTCGGAGAAATTATTGCATACGGACACCGCATGCATCTCTGCATATGGTGTTATATTTCAGTTAAAACAAAAAAAAAATTAAGTGGGGCCCACCGAAATATATCCTGACCGTAAATCACCTGATTTCGCATCATCTTGCAGGCGGAGTCCTTCCGCACGGAAAAACACATTTCGGGAGCCATAACAAATGATTAAAAACTAACGATTCATGATTCATGCTTGTAGCTGTGCATAAATCAAGTATGGGATTAAGAAAAAAAAATCTAAACAAAAAAAAATTTTCAAACAAAAAAAAAGATGAGATAAAATTAAAAACTGATTGATTCGATTCAATGTTGACTAGATTTGATTTAGCTTTGGGCCCTTGAAGAACCCAAATAAAGAAACAAAAAAAAAAAAAAAAAAAAACAAAAAAAATGATTTAAAAAAAGAAAATGATTTAGCAAAAAAGTAATAGTTTTTTCTATTTTTTATTTATTTATTTTTAGCAAATAGTAATAGCTTCATGACACTTGCCAACATATCTCGATGTCTTTTTCATACTAATATCTCAAAAAAACATCACCATATCTATATTGTTCATATTTTAGTAATGGACATAGGTAAGTAAAATTACCTTACTTGGAAGTGTAGTTGATGCAAGTTTCATAAAGTACATAAAAAATAAAAAAAAATAAAAAAAAACAGCCAGAATTAAGAACAGGTTTAGCCTAATAAAGACAAAAACAGCCAGAATTAAGAACAGGTTTAGCCTAATATAAATAACTTGGCTTTCTCAGTAGCAAAATTTTGCGATCGAGGTTTTCATAATCATATAAGTAATGAATTAATGAAAATCATAATGAGGTGAAGTTAAGCTTCAAAATTAGAGGATATCCATAAAATCATTGGAAATGAGTGACTAGCTCGAGTTTGCGAGCTTGGAAAAATTTAGAACGACCTTTTCCATTAGATTCAATATCCTCGGTCTTCCTCTTGCATCCGGTAAAGCCAAGTTTCGATAATTTTAGTTGTCGTTTGCTCGTCCCAACATTTGAAGAATTCTCATCAACCTCGTTAGATTCCCTGATAAAATAAAGCCAATAAGCAATAATATCTAATAAATGAAACTCTTATCCTTCTAATTAATTGTGTACTAAAAATAATAACTCTATATTGCATAAAATCCATTTCCACTATATTTGTACACCATTTTCTTAGTTTGCCCATTTTTCTTTCTAATTTTTACGTTAGTTTAATTACTTGGTTTATTAGTACATTTTCAACTCTTAATTGTGTGGCAAAACCACCAAAATCAAAATAGATTACTTTTATCTCAATATGTATCATCCCATTGATATTTTAATATGATCAATTCACATTCAACTGCTCACTAAATTTAATCATTCACTTTATCCTCTAATTATTTGAGTCTACATAATGAATCCTCTTTTCATTCATTTTTAATGCTACATAAGGAGCGGACTCCTTTAGTGCAAGTAAATTTTTGAATCACTTCCAGAATGTTTCAATTGATCTACCGTTAGATGGACTTAATTTCTTAATACATCCACATTATTAATGCATCTTTTGCTCTCTAATGTACATAAACAAATCACTTAAATCTATTTTTCACAAGCTCGTGAAAATTATATGCCTGCAATTTCTAGACTATGATAGTTGATCAAATCTGCTCTAATTGTGCCACACCACTTTTAGCATTGTCTTTTTTATAAATTCATATTTCACGAGCAGTTTAATTACATTTTTTTTTACAAATTTTCATAAAATGGAGATGGAAGTAAATTAAAATGATAGTAAGATGGAAGGCAATTAACCATCTTATACTATAGATTAATTAAAACAAAATATTATACTACTTGGCTAAAGGGAAACTTACCATACTACCTCAACACCATCCTTCAGATACGTAGCACACGTTCCCCAACTGAAGCGCACCAATGTAGGAAACCCAAATACTGAGTGCTTGTGATGGTCCAGCCAGGCCTTGGTTTCAGGATCTGGTGTTATGTCAAGCAAGCAATGGAAGATTATTCCAGAAATGAGCATAAGCAGTGATATTTTAAGAAAATTAAAAAAAACAAACAAATTAACATAAAAGAAAAAAATGATAATAATAATAATAATATAAAAATTAATAATAATAAAGTTAATGTGATATGTTATGAAAAGATATCACATACCCCCTGGGTAACCTGACCCAAAATTCCTGTGCATGTTCTCAGCAGTTTCTTCAAGTACCCACTCACGAAGGACTCGGTCTCTTGTAACCTACATTAGAGCATTACATTGGTTTAAGAATTATATTGACATACTACCTCATGTATAATTGAATTCTTGAGCAACACAGAAATGATAGAATTCATAAGAATGCAATTAGTTCATTAATAACCGTCATTCTGTAGGCATTGATGAGGGTAAAAAAGCTAACCACAAACAACAGTTTTAACTGATAAGTGTTTTCTCATTGAACGTAATCAAAGGTTTAGAATTTTGCATGCATCGCATACAATCTCAAAAGTAAAATCCTTGAGAAACTGTGCATGCATTGCATACAAAGTTCCAATTTCAAGGTCAGCAGATGACCTTAACCTGGTTAAGTTTGACAATAAGCTTATCACTACAAGTACAAAACTAGAAATATATAATTTAGGGATAAGTAAAAATTTATCTAAATCATCTTCTTGAATAAGAACTTGTTTAAGAGAATGTTATAAATTCTAATAATTGAACCAAATTTGTTGCGAATTTTCACCTGCTTTAAATCTTGCAGATATGATATAGGAATAACGGTACAAAGATCAAGCATATGCTTAAGTGCTAGTGATAAACAAGGTAGGAAAAAAGACTAGGAGAGAAAAACGCTTCTTCATCAAGCTTCCAAATAGCATTTTCTTTATGATTTTGATATCCTCTGTTTATCATCATTCTTATTCTAAAAATATCTATATTATGAAGTTTTATATCCATTTGGCTTTAGGATATGTGAGACTTCTCTTTTATAATGAGAGTACTGTACTTGTCTTTACCAAAGAAAGCTCCCTTGTGCCCCTCTTGTTTATAGAGCAACGAGTATGTAGGAGTTGTTTGGTTGCATGTATTCAAAATACACAGTAAAAGAAAAACAAATTAAAAGAAATCTACTACATTTTAAGTCTAATATTGATGTCTGGTTGAATGTACTCTGAATATAATAAAATGAAATATTCTAATTGTTCTGATGAAATTTAAAAACAAGCTACCTATCAATGTCAGGGCAGAAGGCGAGGTTGGCACCTAATGGCAGCGAGGTTGGGAACTGTGGAAGTGAAAATGGATGCACAGTAAAAGGTGATTCTTGAAGGCACATGACAAGAAATGTGCGAGGAATTGAGTTTGTGAGGTCCCTCTGTGGAGGGCAGAGGCGAGTTGCAAGGTCACTTTATTAAAGCATTGACAAGCCACAAGAGTAAGGGGAGAAATCGCGACGGTCTCCTAGATGAAAGGGCGATGTTGCATGCAGTGCATTTGGAATTTGCCCAATTCAGGTTAATTTGGAATATGTTGCCTATAAGCTAAGGGGTCTATTACAAACTCCTCATTAAATTGCTTTGCATTAGTTCTCTTCCAACAAAACATCTAAATTTTTAAAATCTTGCATTTGGATTATTCTGAACTTCTACTACACCCAACCCCTTGTTAAAAAATTGGATGCCCTCCCCTCCCTTATAGTTGGAAGCTATTATTTTGGTTACCACCCTCCCCTCCCTCATAGTTGGAAGTTATCATTTTGGTTATCAACACGGTCATTGGCACCATCTCGTGGTGTTAAGTCACTTTGTTATTACTTTGTTCAAGCATTATATTTATTCTTGATAAATAATTCCTTATAAAAGATTAAAACAATGTTTTCTTACACACCACTACTATGGACTAAGAAATTTCACATCTAAAAAATTTATAACATAATGTTCTCTTAGAAGACTTGTTCTTGCTTGGGAATCAAACCATCCATCTCCACACAATGGAGGTCAAAAACAATGCCAGTAATAAAAGCAATTAGTGGTCATTCTCTTAAAAGACTAGAGAAAGCTGTTGTAATTTAGACCACAAACATCAATAAGGCCATTTGAACTCCCAAATTGGACTAAAAAGCTAAATTTTAATACACTTCTTAACAGGTTTTTATAACATTATGCTTCGTGATAAACTTTTTAATTCGTTCACATATTAGGTTAAAACCAATTAAACCAACCTCACACATCAAAAACAGGCATATGAATGACATTCACAGTTAATTTGTTAAAATAAATAAATAAATGTCTTGATAATAGCAATAAAAGCATAAAACAAGCTCAAAGATAGGTCATACAAACTGTAAACTCAATAATATATAAATTGAAATATTTATGGACAAATAAGTCATTGACATCTAAGTTGAATGTCTCATAAATGAGAATGCTAAATTATGGGTAAAACAGAAAATTATCATGTAGGAACTAATTAAAATAAATTTACGATAATAACATCTTTTGTACATTAGAATAATAGACCTAAACATGTTGAGTGTGCATACAATATGGCATAAAAGCACTAGCAACTAAGTACAATTTGAAAAGACTTGGAATAAAAAGGAAATATGTTTGCAAAATTGAACAAAAAAGCCCAAAAAATAGTACTCACACTCAACAGAAACTGATAAGAATGAGAATTCATAAAGTTTGCCTAAACAGTCTAGAAAAGGCTGTGAAAGATAAATGATTGTGATGACAATAAAAATTCTTAAAGCCCCAAATGGAAAGAAATTGCTGTTGCACTTGCATCCTAAGCAAAAAAGAATAATTTAGCAACAATATAATGTTTTTTTGCGAAGAATAAAAATAAAACAATAACGCAGCAGTATATCAAAAGTCATTCATCATCATCAATACCACCATCTTTATCCATTATAGCACAAAAAACCAAATGCATCCTCATCAACAAGGATTAAACAATAAGTGAATCTCAAGAAGGTCACAAAACGAATTAACTCATGTTTGATTCTCTCTCATTGTATTGAAGTAAAATGGCAGCATAGGTCTTCCACAAAAGCCTAAAAACCATGGTGTCCAATGTAAGGTCCATTATCCTCCAAATTGTTGCCTATTTAAATTATCCAATATTACAATCCAACTAGAATAAAAAAAAGCCATAGGGAATTCAAAGAAAATAACCTAAAAAATCTTAAGAATAACAAAGGATGAGTAAAGGAGAATAAAGAACACTGGCACCAAATAGTTGTGATAATGTAATAATGACGATGGTGATGACATGTGGGAACTGTCTTTTTAGCAGACAACATATTACAAGGACTGTTAGAAGTTAAATTAGAAAAATAATTTATTCATGTTAGAAGTTATGAGGATTAAATTTATTTCCTTGGATTGAAGTTATTTCATTTCTTATTTTATGTTTTATGTCATTTTCTTTATCTCCAAATAATTAATATGAATAGATTAATTAAAAGATATAGGAGATATAGGTGTTATGTCTCTCGTTTCCTGTCATTTCTTTTTTATTGTCTTTAGATTAATTAAAAGATATAGGTGTTATATCTCTCGTTTCCTGTCATTTCTTTTTTATTGTCTTTTCTATTATAGGATTCATGTAAGAATTATTTATACCATCGTTTCATATCAATTATATGATTCCACATTATTTTGAATTTCAACGTAGTATCAGAGCCAAATTTTCTACCCTAGTCACGGGTCCTCCCTCCAGAGCCGTCGAACAACGTTTCGGCCATCCTCCCTGCAGGAAGCGAAGGACGCTTTCTCTCCCTGCAGGCCCTCACCATCATAATAGATCCGTCCAACCCTTCATAAGCATTGCCTCCTTTTTCCTGCAATCTTGAATGATTCTCTCCCTTCCCGATCTGTCGAGCTGGGAGCTATGACTTACCCAGTCTCCAAATGGCGGGAGTTTTCCATTCTAGAGGAAATCCCGACTTCCTTCGGGGTAACATTCTTTTTATAGTGGAAATCCTGACATTGCAAAGGCAACAACTTTCTTTCTAGTGTAAATCTTGGTCTGCCTGTCGGTTTAGTTCATCTTTCCAACAGAAATAAAGAAAGGAGGACCTCTTTTCCTGGTTGTTTCCCTGTTGGTTCGCCTGTCTTAGCTGGTTTCCCGGCTGATTCTCCTGCCTCCATTTTCTCTGCAAGTTTCACCCGCAGATCCTTCATGGAGGATTTTCCAGCAATCAAACCTCCCTCTCGATCTCCTTTCAGGACCGTCGGGGCACCAACCTGCAGTCTTTCTCATCACTAGCACCCCCTCCTGCAATCTTTCCAACTGGAACTACCTCTGCAGATTTTCCCTGCAAATTTCAAGCAGTTGGACCACTTCCCTGCATACTTACTGGCCATCGGATTTATTCCTGTCGGCTAGACCTCCCAACAGGACTGTTGAATCTCTCCCTGCAGGTCCCTAATAGCCAGAAATCATCTCTGTTGGTTGGAAACCTTTCCTGCAAACATTACCAGCACCTTCCTACAGGCCGCAAATTCACGCAGTTACCGCTGTGGCGTTCTCCGCCATTTCACATGCATGGATTTTCGAAACAAAGGGAAGCTTCTTACAGAGAAGTTCATCTTTAGTTTGCTTTCAAAACAACTTGAGGAAGGTTATTACAGAGGCAAGACTGGATGCATCCTTGAATGAAATCCCAACAGGCGGCCTACATTCCCTTCTCCGTCGGTTTCTTCTCTGTTGATGAGAAACTCTATGCAAGTCCTCTATTTTTTTCCATTTCCATTAGAGTTTTTTTTTGCCTCAGAGCCTCCTCAGGAGCTTTTCCTGTAACGGGCCTCTTTCGAAGCACATTTTCCTGCATCAAACCTTCCTAAGGAGCTTTTCCTGCAACAGACTCTCTTCTGAAGCTTTTCCTGCATCAGACTCCCCTTTGGAACTTTTCCAGCGGCAGACCCTACTCTTGAGCCTTTTTCCTACAACAGACCCTCCTTTGGAGCTTTTTTCTATATCAAGCCCTCCTCCGGAGTCTTTTCCTGTATCAGGCCATCCTCCGAAGCTTTTCCTTGTTGGTTCGTCGATCTTAGCTGGTTTCCCTGCTGATTCTCCTGCCTCCATTTTCTCTGCAGGTTTCACCCGCAAATCCTTCATGCAGAATTTTCCAGCAATCAAACCTCCCTCTCGATCTCCTTTCAGGACCGTCGGGGCACCAACCTGCAGTCTTTCTCATCACTAGCACCCCCTCCTGCAATCTTTCCAACTGGAACTACCTCTGCAGATTTTCCCTGCAAATTTCAAGCAGTTGGAC